CAGGTTGCTTCTAATTGCTGTTTGTTTATTTATTTTATTGAGACAGTATTTCTAAATATTTAATAGTAACATAGACTGGTAACGCAACTCATGTCAGAAATACTACCTTTTCCACTAGTCTTTGCTGTACTGGGAATTTCACACTCCCCTAGTCACTTTGAGAAACAGCCCAGGTTGTCTTTTTGTTTTGTTTTGTTTTTAGAGACAGGGTTTATCTATGTAGCTTTGGAGCCTGCCCTGGAACTAGCTCTTGTAAACCAGGCTAGTCTTGAACTCACAGAGATCCGCCTGCCTCTGCCTCCCAAGTTCTGGGACTAAAGGCATGTGCCACCACCACCACCTGACCAGCCCAGGTTGTCTTAACCAACAATTACTCTACTGTGCTGAAAGAAAACCCAAAGTAAATCCTCCATTCTATGTTTTGGTGCCCCATACTGAATTTCGTTCTGTACCCCTTTCCTCCTACACCTCCTAGTCTCTAGCAAACACAATTTTATTCTTCTGCAGGTCTGACTTACTAGTCCCTTCAATGAGTGAGAAGATGTGACATTTGTCTGTGTCTAGTTTATCCTATTTAAACACACACCAGTTCTAACCTTGGCAAACAGCCAAAATGGGATTATTTATTGCTTATCTCTACCAAACCTGGAGGTCTCACTAAAGCAAATTTAAACATGTGTTCTGTGTTTTTGTTTGTCTGCTTTTGTTTTTGTATTTTTGAGACAGGATTTCTCTGTGTAGCCCTGGCTATGGCATAACTCACTCTGTAGACCAGGCTGGCCTCAAACTCACAGAGGTCTGCCTGCCTCTGCCTCTTGAGTGCTGGGATTAAAGGCATGCATCACTGTTGCCAAACTAGTAAACCCGTGTTTCATTAACTCAGTCCCAAAGCCTTCCTGCCCAAGCAGCAACTGCTATCTCTGCCTCTTGAGTGCTGGGATTAAAGGCATGCGTTCACTGTTGCCAAACTAGTAAACACATGTTTCATTAACTCAGTCCCAAAGCCTTCCTGCCCAAGCAGCAACTGCTAACCCTGTCTGTTTCTCACGATGGTGCTGTTAGGTTAATTGCTGACAAAGTGGCTGCAGGCAGGCCTTTCCAGCAGCCATAAGAGCCTATGCATTAGACACCACACATGCACACACAAAACTATGACTAGTATAAACTGCTTCTGCCCAGAAGAAATGAAAACTCCTTGGTGTGTGATATACTAAAGTCCTTTGTCTTGTCTTAGGACTGGCCAGTGTTAATCTTAGCAATTAAGTTCTGTTTGCAA